TATATATATATATATATATATATATTCATGATATTGATGAGTTATTGTTGTTCTGATCCTTGTATTATGCATGTAAGTTTATAGTTTTGAGAATATATAGTGATTTAATTTACATCAGTTACTATAATTAAGTTTAATTTTTATTTATATTTATTAAAATTATTATGACAATTTCATTATTTGAATTGAGTTATAATCATTAAATTTAATTCATGATGACACTGTTAATGGACATAAATTACTGTACAGTTTTACAATTCACATGTATTATATGATATTTGAATTTGGATCGGTATTATATTAAAATATTATTTGGTTAATATATGTAAATTTTAGACATAGATAAACTATATTAAATTGTAGTGAATTTTAAACTTTACTATGTTGGTGGGTTCACCTTATGCAATTGATTGATTTATAATTGTGTTAATTAATTACTTTTATGGCAATGAAATTGACTAGAATTTCAATTTTTATAATTATTAAATTGGAGGTGAATTTCAATCAATGGTGATTTATTTTAATTATACATAAAATAATAAATATTAAATTATATGTTGTTGGTTTATGGATATATTAAAATTCACAAAGATTATCAAAGGTATCTATTAATTTAGTTGGTACATATTTTATTTTTAAATAATGTGTGTCTCAAATCTTGATGACTGTGAGAAATATAAAATTTAAAAATTATAGTAATTTTCTATTTTTGAGAACTTAAAAAAATTGTTTAGTGATGTATATAATTTTAATTAATTATTGATTAGCCATAATATCTTTAATTAAATGAAATTATATATTTTATTGCTTAAAATCACATGAAAAGTTAGACATAATATTGTGATTGATTATACTTAAACATAATAAGTTTTTATTTCACATAAATTATTGTTGTATTTATAATCAATTAGGATAAAATATCAAATTATATTTCTTAATTTACACATAGGAATTAAGAAAAGGAGCATAGTTTGATAATTTTATCATAAGGTTATGTGATGAATTAATATATAAATTACATGTTTGGGAGTAGCCATAGCATCCCAAACAATGTAAAAAAAAAAAGAGTTATTTCATAAGGAATAAATAATTAATTAACGTATTGAACTAAATGTTATGATAGAATATTTCTATACTATAGGCATGATCTATTTTTATTGTGATATTTATTGTCCATATATAAAGTTTGTAATTTTTGTGCATATTTTGCATCCTATACAAACATTATAAAAGTTAGTGGGAATCAAAATTTTTGAATAAGTGAAAGTGAATTCTTGACAAGTAAAATTTGAGGAAAAAAATAAGGAGCAATATATGATACTCTTGAATATCACTTTTAAACAAAATATTAGTTGGATGCTATGAAATTATATGATAAACATAATATTTCTAGTCTTAAAGTTGTCAATTATATTAATGACCAATTAAGAACTTTGAGTCAAGGCAAACAAATTGACATAAAGTAGATATTAAAAGAAAGTTAATCTATATTGAGTATATTGTTGCAAAATCAATGATCTAGTATAAGATTTCTAGTTACAATATTTTAGAATCATATACTTAAATGCTTGTATTAAAGTTTGTCTTTTTGATTTTATGTCTTTTTGCACATTAAGTTTGTCATTTAAAGTTATAATTCATTTGAATCATTATAATATGGACCTATTTCAGTTATTATAAAGTAATATGCATTGCAATACATAAAAGGAAATCTTTATCTTGAAACATAACAATCATGATTCATGTATGATAATTTCTATATAGTTTTGAGAAATTTTGAGCTTTAAGTTAAATGGTCATATTTAGTTATTAGTGATAGGGGTAATTTCTAAAGAGTATATGAGCAAAGTGAGATAATATTGAAAAAATATTATGTGACTTATATAATTTATGTTTGATTTAATTACCTTATTAATTTAATTAATTTATTGATTATAAGGAATTGTTACAGAATAATAATCAACTATTTTTTTTGGTAAAGAATGAAAACTAAAACAGCAAACAAACTCAAGACACCGAGTCTCGCCCTAATGGTAACAGGATAAAGTCTGGAGGACTCCTCCAAAATACATTGGAACCTATGTTCCGTACACCCCAATTAGCAAGCGTATGAGCTACTGAATTTATCTCTCGAGGGATATGACTGACGTAAACGACCCATTCCCTAGCTAGTATGCGCTTAATACGATGAATAACATCATAGTGCTTATGCAGGTAATCCCTATCCGTTGGCCGATCTTGAAACAACGTAACAGCGCCCAGGCAGTCACATTCACAACTCACCTTCCGAAACCCACCTTCCCAACAAAACGCTAGGCCATCCTCCAAGGCCAACAGCTCAGCACGTAACGCATCACCATATAAAACTCCACGCGAGAAACCCCCCCGCCACATACCAGCCTAATCTCGAATTGCTCCACCCATCCCCATAGCAGAAGTCTCACTCAACCAACTCCCG